TATATATCATCACTTAGAGAAAGAAAAAAATACTTTCGAAGCCACGGCGAAGAGACTTAGAGATTCGTTTTATGTAGACAACTGCGTCACCAGTTTTGACACTCCTGAAGAAGTTAAAAGTTTCGAAAAGGAAGCAAAAGTATTAATGATGAAAGGGAAATTTGAACTAAGAGCTTGGATGACAAATTCAACCCAAGAAGAAGATCCAGTTTCAGTTTTAGGAGTACAATGGAACAGATACGCAGACGATTTATGTTGTAATGTAAATATAAAATCTGTACCTGAACGAATAACAAAGAGGGACCTACTGTCTATAACCCAACAGATATTTGACCCGATAGGTTTTCTATCACCTGTTACTCTAGTACCAAAACTTATAACACAAAAGGCTTGGATGATAAAAACAGGATGGGACGAAGAGATACCTACAGAATTAAAAAGAGAATACAAAGACTGGATCAGTTCTATAGATTGCATCAACAAGTGCAAGATACCGCGACGACTCTCAGAAAGACCACTCAGTGTTTGCAAGGTAACAATTCATGTATTTAGCGATGCAAGCAAGGACGCATATGCAGGTTGCATATTTCTACGCACAGAACATGAAGGCAACACGACCATACGACTAGTCATGGCAAAAAGCAGGGTAGCGCCTATAAAAAGACAGATGACACTACCTCGACTAGAATTGATGGGTGCACTTATAGCTTCGCGGCTTTATAAAGAACTAATGAATTCAGGTGCGTTGTCAACTATTAATAATTACCGAACCTATTGCTGGACCGATTCATCTGTCGTACTTGCATGGCTAAAGAGAGAGGAGGCATGGGGAGCCTTCGTTATAAACCGAGTAAAAGAAATTTGCACTAATACAAGAAGGGAAAGCTGGAATCACTTACCTGGTATATATAACCCTGCCGATTTACCATCTCGAGGCTGCAAGCCAAAGACACTATTGGAAAACAATTGGTGGACGGGACCAGAATGGTTATACTTGGAAGAAGAAAATTGGCCTAAATCAGAGATAAATACAATAAAATCTGAAGAAGATATGATAGCAAGTGAGCTAAGAAGAAGTGTTGCAGTGAATATGGAAACCAATGCAGTTAACTTCAGTGATAAACTATTATATTTCAGTAAATATAAAAAGATAGTAAGATTAGTAGCAAGGCTACTTAGAATGCGCCCTAAAATACGAAAGAAATATAAAGTAGACTCTATACATATTAGAAATGAGGAGTATCAGAATGCTGAAGAAACTATAATTAAAATAGTACAGAAGGAGACATATACAGGAAAGATAAAGGATAAGAAGCTACTAACTATAGAAATGGATGGCATTATAAGAGTAAAAACAAGGTTAGCATACAGCGGAGAAAGTAGTAATTTCATATATCCAATTCTCTTACCCGGGAAACATGAATTAATTAAGAGAATGATACAACAGAAACATAAGGACATGCAACATGCTGGAACACAAACAATGTTAGCTGAATTAAGAAATACGTACTGGATAATAGGCGTAAGAAGGTTACTCAAGAAAATCGTTGCAGAATGCAGGGTGTGTAAAAGATATAAAGCAAAACATTACGAAGCTCCACTACCCCCGCTTCCCGCAGACCGCATAGGAAATACAGCACCGTTCGAAGTTACTGGTATAGATTTAGCTGGACCGTTAATCCTCAAGGGTAATACGAAATGTTGGATTGTTTTATATACATGTGCAGTATACCGAGCTGTACACTTGGAACTTACAGACTCATTATCAACAGTTGGATTTATAATGACCCTGAGAAGATTTATAAGTAGACGCGGCAGAGTCAGAATCATCTATACAGACAATGGGACTAATTTTGTAGGTACGGCAAACCTACTCAAGGAAGTAAATTGGAAAGAGTTAGAAGAAGAAACAAGCTCTTACAATATACAATGGAAGTTTTCAGCTCCAGCAGCTCCCTGGTGGGGAGGGTGGTGGGAGCGAATGATAAGGTTAGTGAAAGACATGCTCAGAAGGATATTGGGCAGAGCATCGGTTAATTGGATTGAGCTATCTACGATATTGTGCGACTGTGAGGCAGTCATAAACAGTAGACCGCTTACTTATGTGGAAATGGGAGACGTTAGACCATTAACGCCAATGATGTTCCTGCATGGATTACCGTCTAACGATACACCGGACTTAGATCAAGTTGA